TTTTTTTTGTTTTTCTTTCTTACTTATATTTTTCCAGCAACTGAGAAATAAATAATTAAAATTCTTGAAAATTTTTTTTTGTCAAATTTTTCCAAAGTATTGATGCAGTAAATGATTAATAATATTTGTCGTATAGACAACAAAAGGTAAAATGTTCCAATTTCAAAATTGCTTCAACTAAGAAAAACAGGATAAAATTGTGAACTATAAATGTTAATATTTTAAATGTGATTAATTACACTAATCATTCAATAAAATATCAAACTATTAGCTGAGTTCCTTCCTATAACTTTTTGAAGCGGGTTTACTGCCGTAACAGTTATGACGATAACTTTTTACTATTGTTGTTGCTTCAGAAACCTCCGGTGCTTTTTTTTTTTTTCTTCAAAAATAATTAGTCAACATTGATAAAAAAAAAAAATAATTACAGGTTTTTCAAACTTTTTTTTCTGACTAATAACCCAACAGTCGTCAGTGTGGTATCGGTTCTGTTGCTTCTGTTGCCTAAGCCGTTGTTATTTGCTAATTTGTTAGCATTTAAGCATAATAAATTATCATTTTTAAATTTTTGTGGCTTTAAAGCATTAATAAATTTAAATACATTTTCCATTTTATAAACTGCCAAAAGAAAAAATTTGTAGAAAAAATAATAATGTTGATTAGTTTTAGTTTTTTTCTTCATCTTTGTAACAACAATTCCACTACTTAGCGTCTTATTTACAGACAAAAAAAAGGAGAAAAAGACTTCTAAAGAAATACTCAGTTGTAATTTTTTTTTTCTTTTTTCTAACCACAAAATAAATGAAAATGTTGCAAAAAAAAAAAAGCAACAATATTTTATACAAAACAAAAATAAGTATTGTAATTTGTATTTCTTTTTTTCTTTCAGATACCTATCAAACGACAATAATAATAATAATAATAATAATAATAATAACAACAACAAAAAACACTTCAAAATGTTTGATTTGTTTTTTTTTTTTTTTGTACTGTACAGTAATAAGAATAGTTTGCTTAACGTCGTCCTTTTTGTCGTCTAACATTTCACTGAAAAAAAAAAAAAATTTTTATAGTTATTCAAAAAAAAAAAAAAGCAAATGTAATATTCCATTTCAATTTTTGTTGTTGCCGTTTTTTTCTTCCAAAAAATGAGGCACAGAGCAAAAAAAAAACGATGAAATAGAAGAAGAACTAAGTAATGACGACGACGACGACGACGATGAATCAACATTATAGAATAATAATTAATGATTTTAGTGCAAAAAATTTTTTGATGACACACACATACAAAAAAAAAAAATATTACTGAACTTTTCAACAACATTTTATAAAAACACCAATTTTAAATTTTTTGCTCCAAAAGATAAAAAAAAAAAAAAAAACAAATTTTTTGCTCCCCCCCCTCTTCAGTTCATCAGCTAAAGTTACTTTTACTGAATTGTTAAAGAACTTTTTTTCACAGTACCTTAAGCAGTTTCAAATATTTGATCGACAACAACAAAATAGCTTTAAATAAAGAGGAAGGGGGGAAAAAAAAAACAAGAAGATGAATATGAAAGAGGTATGAAAATTTGGGTTCCTCTGTTCCATACACCAATATTTCATTACAGACATTTTTGTTGGTCTCTGTTCAGTTAATTCACATCTCCTCTCCCGAAACTTCTATTTCAAAATTTAAAAAAATGCCATTTCAGTCAATTTTCATAACCAGTTTTCATGATGACAACGATGACGACGATGATGACTAATACTAATCGCAGAATAGTAACCATATAATAAAATAAGCTATATGCTACTGCTTTTTTGAGCTAATAATCTTATCCGTTCAAGCTAGCCGACAATTTTAATCGACGTCATTCTCGATGCAATCGTTAAGCTGATATCAGTCATATGCATATACATATACAAACAACTTTACAATCTGTCTAGAAATGCTAATACTTTCAGAACAATCTTAATCCAAAAAAAAAAATTTGTCCGTCAGCAAGAAAAAAACGTCTAGTACACTTATTCAAAGGTTTTTTTCTTTCATAAAAGCTGTTATCTATTGATTGTCGTCAACAAAAAAAATTCAAAAAGAACCGCAGAGGTTATTATCAGTTGAGTTAAAGGTAACAGATATTTTATCATAAGTTGAAAGCAGAGCTAACAGAACAGAAGACAGATTTTATTCAGCGTAATGTAAAAATGACGGTACATTTAATGTAACATTTTTTTTTGGTAAAGCAATAGATAAAGCAGCAAAAAAACACAGACATTGAAAATTGTAATGGATTCAACAGAACAAAAAACATTTC